GATTTGAACACGGACTGGCTCCAGACAAGGGCACCAGCCAGTGACCTGAGGGCTCCGCCTGCCCCTCAGGGGGTCCAGCCTGGGGGAATCTCTCAGAGAGGTCGAGCGACTTGATCAAGGACGCTCGGCTGGCAGATGGCAGTCAGGATTCAGGCTGCACGAACAGCCCCGCCTGGCGCCCACGGAGGAGGGACTGCTTTTCCCGAGCGTTTGCGCAGAGCCAGACACTCTTTTCACTTCTCTCATCTCCTGCGGGTTGGGGCACCCATCTCCCGACTCTCCCCAGGGGGCCTGGGTGGGCCGTGACTGCGGCAGTCCAGTCGTGGTGGAGGAGGCGTGGTAGAGGAGGCGGTGCCACGTGCCCCAGGATGTGGTCATGTGCCGTGGCTCGCTCTGACTTACAGCCTCCCTGTGCCACGGGAGGAAACGCCGCCGGGTCTTGCGCCGTCCTCACGGTCGCATTGCTTGAGCGCATCGCCGCAGCCACCGCGGCCATCTGTCCCATGGGGGCTTCCTCTTTTTCTCCGACCCTTTGCTTTTTCAAGCGGATGTCCTGCTCTGGAGACTGGTCTCCCCTGACAGCTAGTCCAGAGGACGTGAGGCTGTGCCTGGTCATCGTTGCCTCTAAGCAGCCCTCGGGCTGTACGTGCCCCAAGACCCAGCTGCTTGGTCTATGGCAGCCCAAGTCCCAAGTCCGGCAGATATCCTTCACCGAGACCAGAAGTCAGCGGCATCCTCTCTTCTTCAGACATTCTTACTCCTGGCCCGGCTTCTGTCTGCAGCTGAGCTGATTGGCTTGGGCCCATGATGCCATGGTCTTAAAGGGTCCCACACCTGCCACCTGGTTCTCTGAACGGCTTGCTCTGAGGGAAGGAGGGCTCTGTCGCCAGGTAGGGTCTGACCACCAGGAGGCCACCCTCTTGGACAGACCAGCCGGGGGTGGGGGGTGAGGGAGGCAGGGTCAGTTGCAGGCACGTAGCATTGGCCACCAGTATAGGAGCTCGAACCCTCGGCTGGATGTCTGCTCCCCCCGCAACAGCAGCTGCAACCCAAGAGGGAAGCTGGTGGGGTGGGAAGATGGGAGCTGGGGGTGGAGAAGAGGGCTGCAGGGGGAGAGGCCCAGAGGCCTGAGGGAGGGGAATCAGCAGAGAGCAGGGGCCCCGGCCTCCACAGTGCTCCGGGAGCCAGGAGGGTGGATTGGTGGATTGGAACTGGCAGCTTGGTGCCGTTGCAGCCTGGACTGGGAGGGTGTCCCCAGAGTCTCATCCAGGGGCCCAAGAGAAGCCAGCAGACTGACTGTGAAATGCACGTGCCTTGGTAAGAGGGGGTCAGGCCATGATTATGGCGGGTGGTCACACAACACGAATAACTGGGACACCCGGGGAAAGGCTGAATGGACACATGGTGCTGTGTACAATTGCACCACAGAAGATGATACAAAACCGTTTTACAAGCCGCAGACTTCGTTATCATGAAAACCCGGCAATGAGATGACAGCACCCGAGAGATCACTTGAAAAAGGGGAAGGAAAAAGAAAGAGGTCATTTTAGGAAGTAAAAATCAAGGTCTGGTGAGGAGGCGGACGGACCCAGTCATCGCGCCATCGGGCTCGGACACGTAAGTCATGCTGGGGCAGGGCCTGGGAGTGTGTCTCGGTGGCACATCAGGTCCCTGTGAGTCAGAATGGCCTCGAGAGCATCTCGCAAAGCGGAGATGGACATCCAGATTATCGGAGTCTTGACCACTCCCCGATGGCTGCAGAGGGAGGGGCCGGGAGGACGGAGGGGGGGAAGTGGGAGAGAGGCAGACGCTGGAGCCTCCACAGTTCTGGGAGAGCCAGGAAGATGCCCATGGGACAACCAGATCCTGAGTGGTCCCCCTTTTTAGGGAGTGGGGGACCCAGCTGATTCCTACACCCCCACCCCTGTGTAATGATAGCTGTGGACTCTCAACTCCTCCCCTTAGGAGCTGTGTGGCATCGGGTAAACTGCGTGTGTCCTCTGCACCCGGCTTCTCAGTTGAAACACGGGACTGAGGACAGCAGGGCCAGCCTCAGAGATGCGAGCCTGTGGGACAGAGGCACCCCCACCCCCCGCTTCCGACGCTGGCTGTCAAGCCTTACAGAGGCCTCAGGCCAAGTCTGTCTCCCTCAGCACGGCTGCTAGCTTGAACTGCCAATCTTTTTGGTGAGCAGCTCATCCCCCAACCCACTGTGCCACCAGGGCACCTTAGTCCCTAAGAGGCGATTTAATAAAGGCCTTTTCTCCCCTGGGGCGTGCCCTCTGTCAAAAGGAGGCCCATTGTTCCAGAATATTCCGTCTTAACCACCTTGGGTCCCCAGATACTCCTGCTTCTATACTGATACTTCAAAGAATAAATGAATGATTAGAAGTGTGTGTGTGGGGGGGGGGCAGGTGGAAGAAGATGTCTGAGGGGTCTGCATTATTGCTGATCTGTGTTTGAGCTGCTTGAATCAATGTCACGCATGCCTGACAGGTCGGGGAGCTGTTCTTCTTCTGTGGTGGCCCGCCCCCTGCCCATCCTTCTTTCCCATGCACTCCACCTCATGTCCCCTGCACCACCACCACTTGGCTGCCCCAGACTCTGAGATCCCCAGGTGAGGGTGGAGCCTTTTTTGTTCCCACCCTCCAAGGCCCAGCACAGGGCCTAATGAAGAGGACTCACAGGGTCTTGGAAGGACAAGGTAGAATGACCCACTTTGGGGCGTCTGCACATAGTAGGCCTACGTTGGTGAGTGATTTGGGAGTGTGGGGGAGCCCCTAAGCTCCTCTAACCTCCATCTCCCCAACTATCAACAAAGAAGACCAGGGTTTTGAGATTAAGAGGTGGCTTCTGACTTCCAGCATCTCTACCTGGGGGAGGCACACAGGTGTGGAGTTGATGAGCAACAGCAGGAAACCTACTGAGGCCATTCTTGTAGCTAAGGTGTCAGCCCATCTCTTCGAAGGTCCCCCTGGGCTTCTTAGCAACCTCGAGGTCAACCTTCCAGCCACTGGTCTTTGCGGTGGACGTGTCCAAAGTGAGCAGGAGCAAGTGTTACCATCCTTGCTTCTAAGGGGCAAGCATCCTGGTTGTAATTCTTCTAAGTGGACTGGCCCCTTCCTCTGGCCGTCCACCGCAGAGCCTGTGTCCACACCACAGTTCAAGTGCACCGATTCTTCTCCTGCCTTCTTAATTCCCTGCCCAGCTTTCACCCGGGAGAAAGACGAGGCCGTCTGGTCCCGTAGAGTGACAGCCTCGGAAACCCACAGGGGCAGTTCTCCCCTGTCCCGTAGGGTCACTGTGAGTCGGCATTGACCCGATGGCAGTGAGTTTTTATATGAATATATGCAAGGAGACATCAGAAAACTTGTGGGGGGAAATGGAATTAGGAGATAATGGGATTTTGTGTGTGTAGAGCTTCTGAAGCCCTTCTTACACACACACACACACACACACACACACACACACACGAACAAATACTTACTGTCCAAAGGGACTTGAGAAAGATTGTGAAAAATGGAAAGTAAGCATAATGGAGTATTTCCACGATATTTTTGAACCCCCTTGTGCAATCACATTGGTGATATGTGTATTTATAGCAGGAGTCCGGGTGCAGCAGTTGGTAATCAGCTTGGGCTGCTCACCACAATGTCAGCAGTTTGAAACCATCCCCTGATCTAAGGAAGAAAGACGAGGCAGTCTGCTCCCCAAGAGAGTGGCAGCCTCAGAGACCCCCAAGGCAGTTCTACCCTGCCCCGTAGGGTCCCTGTCTGTCAGAATGATCTCCGTGGTAGTGAGTTTGGGTTGTTTTAAATTTTAGCCGTCACACGCACATGAGGTAATTAAAAGATTGTAACGTCAATGTGAGGACTTGGTCCTCAAAGTGACATATTCTGTTGTTGAATGTTCACAAGGTCTTTGGCAGTCGAGTGGCCTGGGCAATACACAGTTGTTTGATTAGTCGTTTGATTCTGTGACTTCTGCTTCCTGGGTGTTGATTGTGGATCCAAGTGGAATGAGTTCACTGACAGCTTTAGTCCCCCCTCCCCCAGCCCCTCCAGCCCTCAAGCATACCCAAGTTGCATCTGGGCACCTTCCCAAGTTAAAAAATATATATATTATTATTTCTTCCCACTCAAGTCCCAGAGAAAGCTGTGGTCTTTGACCTTCACCAGCAAGTGCCTCCATTCCTCTTCATTTGGGGGCAAGTGAGACAGTGGTGCCTGCATAAGAGGTTGTCAAGGTCCCCTGCCAGTCCTGAGGGGCGACTGTCTTCAGGTAGCCGGTCCTATTTGGGGACCTATTTGTACAGCATACCAAAACTGAAACCAAACTCACTGCCACAGGGTCGACGCAGACTTCTAGCGACCCTACAGAACAGGGTCGAACTGCCCCTGTGGGTTTCTGAGCCCTGTAAGTCTTTTCGGGAATAGAACGCCTCATTTTTCTCTCACGGAGAGCCTGGTGCTTTTGAACTGATGACCTTGAGTTTTGCAGCCCGACAGGTTATCGCTGGGCCACCAAAGCTCCTGTTCAGAGCTCAGACTGCAAAAACAGTGTGTGCGAGCTTGCAAGAGCGTGTTCGTGTCCGAAAGGCCCCAAGAGAGTGACGGGTCCCGCCCAGGTGCAGAGGGTGGCAGTGACTTTAGCAGGCGGGTCACCCCCCCCACTCCCCGTCCCGCCCTTCTCGAGCTCCTTGGAAGCCTCCCAGGGAGTCTTTTCCAGTTGGGACGCAGATCGCTGGGGTTTCAAGAGTTTGCAAACCTTCCATGGACAGCGCTTGGCCCCGCCAGGTGACCACTGCGCTGTCAAGAGTCATCGCTGGCAACTGAGCGCGCTCCTGGCGCGCCCACAGCCGGGGCGGGGCCTGTGCAGGGCGGCGCCGGCGCGGGCCTATCAGCGCCGCCGGCCGTCTGGGGGCGTGGTCGGCGGGCCCCGCCAGCGCAGCCTACAAGAAGCAGCGCGCTGCGCGCTCGAGCCACTCGCATCCAGGGCGTCCCTGTCCCGCGGTCGTTCGGCTCGTTGTGCCTGTCGCTGCGCCGGTGCGAGGTGGTGAGCGGAGCTCCGCGGAGGTAAGTACAACCTCGCTCCCTCCTCTGGACCAGCCGTGACCCCGTAGCCGTTTGCGGCCCTCTGGGGATATGCAGAAAAGACGCCAGCTCCGAGCGTCTCTGAGTGAGGAGGGCTTTACCTGCAACGCAGGACCACAGTTCCCCCTTTCACCGATGAGGAAACCGAGGCTCAGAGAGGACCCATCATCTACACCTGATCCCACAGCTGGGCAGCGGAGGACCCGGCGAGGATAGCCTTGCTCCTTGCGGCTGTACCTCTTGGCCGCCTCGTGCCTTAGCCCGTGTGCGCACGGTGGGCTTCGGGGCGGGGAGACGCCAAGGGAGAGGAGGTGCCAGGCTTCAGGATGGATGCTTCCTAGCCACGTGCGGGCAGCTCATCTGCGCTCCAGGCCACACCCCTTCACGGTCTCCTGTGCCACCGACCAGGCAAGGTGGTCGTCCTCTTTTCCTGTTTCAGACAAATGAATGAAGGAACCGAAGTTCAGGGCGGAGCGCAGGTCTGGATAGAAGTGTCTTGGCACAGAGGCAAGCCCGAGGGCTGAGGAAGCCAGGCTCCCCGGACTGCAGGCTGGGAGCCTAGGAGAAGTGGCTGCCCCAGGTGGAGGGAGCGGGCCCAGCCTCCTTTGCCAAGGGCTGGGCCGGTGGGCCAGCCAGGAAGGGCTGGGCTGGTGTCTGAGCACAAATGGCAGTGGGTCCTCTCTCAGCCCAAAGAAGAGGGCTCTGCGTCCACCCAGGCCCTTGGGCACCCTCCCCCTCGTGGGACGGCTGAGCCTGCCAACTGGAGCTGGGCAGGGACAGCCAGGAATGGATGTCGGCCAATGGGAGGGAAGCCAGGGTGTGCAGAGCAAGGCGAGGGGCATGTATGTGCGCAGGTGGGTGGAGAGGGGACGCACCTCCTGCACCTGACGTGCTTCTCCCCTGACCTGGCTGCCTCCATACGGGGAGGCAGCGCCAGTCATATCCCTGCCCTGGCAAGTTAGTGTCAGGATCGATGGATGGTCACGTACTTCACCTGCACTGTCATCCCTTCTGTACACCTGGACAGTAGGGCTCTAGCCACGCCCCCTCTCCTTTCCCAGGTGAGGCTCAGAGAGGCGAAGTGGTGTCTCAGGGTCACACAGCGGTTAAACCCCACCCCACCCCCACCCAAGCCCTGCCTCCTGTAAGATATCCCCTGTCCACTGTCAGCTCTGCCCCAGAACCTCTCACCAGGCATTTTGTCCCCAAGGGTAAGGTGACCAGATGTCCTGCTTTTGGTGGGACAGTCCCAATTTTTGGTGTTTTTAAAAAGTCCTGATTTTTGGCAAGAATGCACGACAAGCTAGGGAACGGTCTATTTGGTCCATATAGACCAAATTTTTAATCAAGAGTCACCCCCCACCCCACCCCACCCCCGCCCCCTGGTCAATGGTGTCCTGCTTTAAATCTGGTCACCTTAACCAAGGGGCCAGTCTGGGTAAAGGGGACTCAGGGGAGTGGAGTAGGTTTTGATCCTGGCAGAGGCCAGGGAACTGTGGGAGCAGGTGCAGGCGCAATAGCATTGATAACTGGCCAGAGAACCCACGTGCCCACACTCAACGAGTTGGCCGGGGCAAGCTCAGGGTTCCAATTGCTGATCTTCCCATTGGCAGCCCGGTGCCTCACCCACGGTGCCACCACGGTGCCTTGGGTGTTGTGTGCACACGGTCCTTTGCTTCTCTGCAGGATGGGCAGGGCACTGCCCTCTGACTAGCAAGGAATAGGCTGAGGTCCCTGTGGCCAGGCAGTGTGCTCCAGACAACAGCTGGAGTAGCAGAGCTGCCCACCGGGCAGGGCCTGCCCAGACTCTGGACAGAGGTGGCCAGCCGGTGACTGCCCACAGGCCTGTCTCAGCTGAGCTGGTGCCTGGCCAGGCTCCCTACAAGCGGTGTTTGCAAGAGTCTCTAGGACTGCTTGGAGAGTTAGCACTGAGATGGAGCTTGGGCTCAGCCCCAGCCACAGGCACCCAGCCGCCAAGTCCCCTGGGTCAGCCCTGACTCCCCTGGGAACCCTGCCCAAGCCTGGGGAGCATTAGGTGGCCTGGGTGGGCCCGAAGCTGCCGGAGGGGAGAATTTGAGGTCTTTGAAACTGCACCCCTCACAGACCCCGATTTGAACATCTGGCCCTGCTAAGCGTGGGGGGCGGGATCCCAGTGCTGAACTCGCTGGCCCCAGGAGCTGTACGAGGCCATGCTCGCCAGTCACCAGTGTAATTTGCTGTGTACTTGAGGTGCCTCTGTGTCTGCCTGCTCCCGGCCAGGAGACTTGCTGCTTTCTTTCTTTCTTTTGCTTTTTTTGCGAACACACTGGACTTTGATCAGTCCCAGATGTGATGGCTCCTCAGGAGAGCCTACCACTAACTCCACCACCACGGGCACCTTTTCATTTCACCCCGCCCTGTTCGCTGAGCGAGACAGATGCTCACACCTAGCGGGGTGGGAGTGGAGGAGCGCCCTGTGAAGGCCTGAGGGAGCGGACAGGGGTGTGCAGACTGGGACGGGGGCCCCCACCCTTGCTATGTCCTCTTTTCTTGATTTTTCTCGGGGGTGGGGGCAAAATTTTATGTTAGTGAACTATCCAGAAACCTAAAGTTAACTGTGCACCCATTCTGAAGAGAACGTGTCAGTGGGCTCTTTAACATTCACAGTAGTGGGCAATCCACAGCACAGCTGAATCCCAGGTGTCCATCAGCCCAAACGCCCAGACCCGCTGCCATCGAGTCGATTTCCACTCACCATGACCCCACAGGACAGAGGGCACTGCCCCCAAGGGTTTCTGGGGCGGTCATCTTGATGAGGACAGGCAGCCTCATCTTTCCTCCCACGGAGCAGCTGGTGGGTCCAAGCTGCTGAGTCTACACTTCGCAGCCCAATGCATAACCCAGCATGGCCTCCTATTCCTCTTCCTCCCCCTTCCACCACCCCAAGCCTCTGGTAACCACTCATCTACCCTCTGCCTCTATGGGTTTGGCTACCCTTGGCATTTTATAAAGGAAATTGTACACTGGGAGGCCTTTTCAGCCTGGCCTCTTTCATTCCGGGGCATGATTTTTGAGGTCCATCCATGCCCCAGCATGTGATTAGGACTCCAACCCTTTTTCATGGCTGTGTAATATTCCTATGCAGGGACCTACCACCTTAAAAAAAAAGAAACCTTTTCATTGTGAATTAGATGGAGTTTATATTTCAGATAATCATTTGTGTATTCAGCAATTTAAATAAGTTGTCAACTCCCAGAATAGCCTTCCCTCCCCCTTTACTCTCTTCTCCCTCTTATAGAATACCATCCCCTGCATCACCTAATTTAACACCTGGCTACCCTCTAGCCTGCTGCTCCACTTCATTCCTTCCCCTTCGACCTCTGGTCACCATCCAAGTTTGTTTCTTTTCTTTCTGGTATGAAAAGCATTGTTTTGATTTTTCTTTCATTTACCACAGTGGTCTCATACAGTATTTGTCCTTTTGTAATGGGATTACTTCACTCGGCAGTGTGTCCTCTAACTCCATCCAGGTAATGAAATGGCTGTCGGCTTTATTGTGATGTTTCTCTTTAGAAAATAAGAGGTTTGTTTATTTGTTTATTTCCAACCTGCTTTGCCAGGACACACTGCAGACATCCCCACCCCGCCCCCATGCCCACCCTGTCCAGTAGATCAGCCTCATCATTACGTAACGAGGTGTGGAATTCCACTGCTTGTATGTGCCACAGTTTGCCTCTCCATTCTTCCATGGAAAGATAGTTCACGTCTTTCCATCTTCTTGGTGTGCTGAACGGGCTGCGATGAGCTCGGGCAGCATCTACCTGCTCATGCTCCCCCCCCCTGTTTCTGTGGGGTATGTACGGGGGTGGGGGTGTCTGGGGCTTGTGTTATTTCCAGTCCCAGTTGTCTGAGATGGTGCCGTGCTGCCTCCCACCACGAACCACTGGTTCTACAACTCCAGGCACGCACTTTGCTTGCTTGCCCCTCCATTGATGGTGTTTGGATGGCGTCTGCCCTCTGCCTGCTGCATGGTGAGGCTGTGACCATCTGGGTCAGGATGCTGTCTCACACCTGCTGTCATGTGCCCTGGTCATACAGATCAAGGTGTGGGTTTGCTGGAACATTTACCAACCAAGGGACACAGCTTGTCTGTTCTTGACCTCCTTCTTGAAGAAGCAGCCAGTCAAACTAGTGAAGGTCCCTTTCCTTGGACACAGGACCGTGCGGGCAACTGGCTCAGTCCCAGCAGTTCCTGGCAGGTGGTTCTGCCGGGACTCTGCCCTGGGGAAGGTCTGCATGTGTCCCAAGATGTACAGTTTGTTCTAGTCTCACTCAGGCACCCCCCCTCCCACCACACACACACACACACAGAAGGCCAAGAGGCTGCTGGGACAGGCAGTGCCTCGTGGTCCAGCCCAAGGGATATTTATTTATCTTCTTTGATTGTCCCATCAGCTCTGACCCAAACCACAGATCCAGGGTGGGGCATTCTGGGAGGGTTGTGCAACTTTGGGGCCATCTTTAGAAAAGAAAAGCATTATGAATGATGAAATCTCACACGCTCAGTTCCCCTTTCTGGAACGTGCCCTCTTGGCCTGCTGATTGGCCCACCCCAGAAGAAAGAGGCAGACCAAGGACCAGGCTGCTCCATCTTGCCTGCAGTCCCCCCCCCCCAGTGGCCCTGGAGCTGCTCCGACCCCGACCCGCATTTGGAAAATGCCCATTCGGGTTCTTTGTGGGTGGGGTGGTGTCCTCGGGGGCTGGCTTGATAAGACTTTGGGAACTTTCTGGAAAGAAGGGTGACTGGGAGTGGGTGGGGTTTGCCAAGGGAGGGGCCATACACTCATGTATGAAGAGGCCTACAGGTGGGAAGGGCCACGGACTCTTGTAGAAGTTTGGGGTGAAGGACCCCAAGGGTCTGGGAGGGACAGTGTGAGTTGAACTGAGGTGCAGTGCTTCTCACCAAGACGGCCAGGTTGTTGCTAAGACAGGACAATGTGGGG